GGTAGGCATCAGAATAGGTTTAATAACCAAAAGAATGCTAGTAATGGGGAATCAAGTAAGAAAAAAATTTAAAAATGGAAGGGGTAGATCTAAGTCTAGGTTTAAAGTTAAAAAATATTATAATTGTCATGAAACTGGTCATTTTATTAAAGATTGTCCTAAACCTAAGAAAAATTAGCAAAATGAGCATGCTAATATGGCTGTCTGTGAGGGAAAAATGAGTGAATTTTTTATGATTAACAATCTTTGTGATCATGCATATTTGAACTCTGTGTTATCTGATTCTTTGTGTAAATCAGATTGGTTAGTAGACTCTGGTTGTACTTTTCATATGACTCCTTTTAAAAACATGTTTTCAAACTACAAGAAAATAGAGAATGACTTTGTGTCAATGGCAAATGAAAAGAAATGCAATGTTTGATGTATGCCTTAGGTTTTCTTCTGGTTCTGTGTTTACTTTGAAGGATGTTAGGCATGTTCCTGATTTACGTTATAACTTGATTTCTTGTGCATCTCTAGAAAATGATGATTTAGAGGGAAAATGGGGTAAAGGGGTTATAAAAATTCTGAAAGGGTCTCTTGTTGTTCTTACTGCTGAAAAACAAAATAATTTGTATGTTTGTCATGCTGAACCTCTGCTTGATTCTGTTAACTTTGTGATAGGTGATAAATCTATTTTATGGCATAATAGATTAGGTCACATGAGTAATAAAGGATTAAAAATTTTGCATAAAGGAGGTCACTTTGATAGTGATAAAATATCCCCCATCCCCTTCTGTGAATCTTGTGTGTTAGGAAAACAACATAGGGTTAGTTTTCCTACTTCTTCCTTTCCTAATCAGTCTAAGTGCACTAATGTTCTTGAATATTTGCATGCTGATGTGTGAGGTCCCTCTAGTGTGCCTACGCATGGAGGGAACCAATATTTTCTTTCCATAATTGATGATTATTCTAGGAAAGTTTGGATTTTACTCATGAAACAAAAATTTAAAGTTTTTGATAAATTTAAAAACTGGAAAATTATGATTGAAAACCAAACGGGAAAGAAAATTAAAACTCTTAGGACAGACAATGGTCTTGAGTTTTGTAACAAACAATTGAATGATTTGTATACTACTTAGGGTATTAAAAGGCATAAACATACCCTAACAGAATGAGGTTGCTGAAAGGATGAATAGAACTCTCTTAGAAAGAATGGGGGCTATGTTGGCTACATCTGGGCTCTCCAAGAAGTTCTGGGGAGAAGCTGTTTGTACTGCGGCCTATTTGATCAATAGGTCTCCTTCTGTTTCCTTAGGAGGGGAATGCCCTGAATTTGTGTTCACGGGCAAACCTCTTGATTTAAATAATTTGAGAATTTTTGGGATTGCTGGCTATGTGCATTAAAAGATTGATAAGTTAGAATCTAGATCTAAGAAATGTGTTTTCTTAGGATACCTTGAAGGGGTAAAAGGTTATAGGCTTTGGAATAAGAGTGAACCGGAGTTTAAGATAGTGATAAGCAGAAATGTTGTTTTTAATAAAAATGAATTTCCTTGTTTACCTTTACATGTTCCTATTCCTGAAAATGATGCTCCAAATGAGATGGAGCAAATGCCTATTATTAATCAACCCAAATCACCTCTTGAAGAAAAATTGAATGATATAATTATTGAAAATCAAGATGTGATTATTCTAAATGAGGTAGAGCATGATATGCATGAAATAGATAACATGCATGATTTGAATGATTATCAACTCACTAGGGATAGAAATAAAAGAACCATTAGGAAACCTGAAAGATGTAGAGATTGCAATTTGATTGATTGTAATATGCCTGAGTTTGCCTTTAATGTGTTTGAATCCCTTGAGTGCAATGAACCTAAGACTTATAGAGAAGCATTAAGGTCAAAATATTCTGAAGAATGGATTAGTTCTATGAAGAGTGAGATGGAATCCCTAAGAATTAACCAAACATGGAAACTTGTTCCTAAACCTGCTAGTTGTTCTGTAGTGGACTGTAAGTGGTTGTTTAAGGTGAAACAAGAATCTGAAAGTGTTAGGTTTAAGACTAGGTTAGTAGCTAAGGGATTTACTAAAAGAAGGGAATTGATTATGCTAAAATTTTTGTTCCTGTTGTCAAATTCACTACTGTTAGAATTATGCTTGCTTTAGTTGCTAATTTTAATTGGGAATTAAAACAAATGGATGTAACTACTGCTTTCTTGCATGGTGATCTTGATAAAAATATTTATATGCACCAACCTGAGGGCTTTGTGGACCCTAAATTATCTGATCATGTGTGTTTGTTAAAAAAAGGCTTTGTATGGTTTAAAACAATCACCTAGGAAATGAAATATTAGATTTGATAAATGCATGTAATTTATGTGGATGACATGCTAATTGTTAGTCCTTGTTTGAAGTCTATTGAGCATGTTCAAAAATGTCTTTGTGAAAATTTTGATATGAAAGACTTAGGTGATGCTAAAAGAATCCTAGGCATGAATATTATTAGGGACAAAAACAAAACTATTCTAGTTTTAAACCAAAGTTCATATGTTGAAATTTTTTTGAGTAAATTCTCTATGTCTGATGGCAAATATGTGAATGTGCCTCTTGCTTCCCATTTTGTGTTAAGTAAGGACCAGTCCCCCAAGACTGAAACTAAAATAAATGATATGAAGAAGGTGCCATATTCGAATGCTATAGGATCGGTCAAGTATCTCATGGTTAGTACTAGACCTGACATTGCATATGCGGTTAGTTGTTTGAGTAGATACATGTCAAACCCTGGTATGCCTCATTGGAATACCTTGAAGTGGCTTTTAAGATATTTGAAATCCTCTGTGGATGTAGGATTAACCTTCTCTAAGTGTTCTGAAAGTGTTAAACTTGTTGGCTATGTAGATTCCAATTATGCAAATGATAGAGATAATAGAAATTCTACTACTTCCTATGTGTTTACTTTGTGTGGCTCTTACATAAGTTAGAAATCTCAATTACAGCCCATTGTTGCTTTATCTACTACTGAATCAGAGTATGTTGCTACCACTGTAGCTTTTAAAGAAGGCTATTTGGCTTAGGGGCCTTATATCTGAAATTGGTTTTCTATAAAAATATGATTGTATTTTCTGATAGTCAATCTGCTATTCAACTTTGCAAAAATCTTGTTTTTTATGATAGAACTAAACATATTGATGTTAGATTTCATTACATTCAGGATATAGTTGAAAAGAGTATTGTTAAGTTAGAGAAAATTCTCTCAGAATTTAATCCTGCTGACATGGGTACTAAGTGTTTGCCTGCTATAAAATTTATCTCGTGTCAAAGAATCTTGAATTTTGATTTTGGGTAATTTTCCTTTGCTTTGTGTGTTGCCTTTGTGGCCTATTAACTTGATTTGTGCTTGTTAGCAGCTTTGTAATTTTTTCCCTTTGAACTCGATGACCGTTTGGTAGAGTTCGGTCCTTTGTGGACTTGGTATGCTTGGTGATCTTACCCCGATCTTTGTGATCTGAGTTTACTTTGTGTATTCTCTTCCATTGCTTGTATCTTCTTTGTGATCATACAAGTAATGATTTGGCGATGATGAGTCCTGCAGTTCCGTGTTTTTCTCAGTGCACTACCTTGGGCCAAAGGTGGAGATTGTTGATATTAGATGGCCCAAAAGTCTGTTACCTAAAGACCCAGTTCCCCTCCTATATTTGCCCTAGCCTCCTCTATGCCTCTCTCCTACCCGATGGTACTCAACCCCCTTTCACACCTCTGTGATCTGATGGCCCCCGTTTAGAGTCCCATCTCCCATCCCTGTAGGTCAGCTCCTTCCATTCGTAACCCTAGCCTCTCTCCCGTGTCGGCTGCTCCCTTCTCTATATCTTTCGAAGGGTTTGGTAGTAGATCAGGGTGGGAAGAGAAAGCTGAGCTTGAGCTCCTCTGCTGTGTGCGATCCTCTCCTCTCCCCTGTGAGCTTTGTGCTCTCACCCCCTTTGTGCGATCCCCTTTCCTCTTAGTGAGTGACTGAAGGAGAAAATCAGTGAGCCCTCTCTTTGTGTTCTTGGTGGTGCACTGCTGAGAAGAACAGTGACTGATTGAGCAGGCTTCTAAGCCAAACATCAATGACGACGATCCTCAACAAAGGATGTGGATATTTGTAAGTGTTGGACCTATTTGTAAATATTATCTCTTTTTCTCTCATAACCCTCAATGTTATACATGCAAATTCCCTTTACTATTCATGGTTATTCATGAATTTCACTCTAATAAAGTTATACTTTAGGAAATTTCGTCATTTCGGGTAGAAATAATTCCACATTTTTAAAAATCCTCTCAATTTTAAATATATAAATTAATTGAAAAATCCGAGGCCTTACACTTCCCAAAGTAATAAATTTGATTTAGGTTAGTATCTAAACTATTTAGTCCCTACATGCTCTATAAACTATTCAATTAGTTCCATGTTTACTCCTCTTCTCATTTTTTTTGTTCAAACCCCCGTCCCCCACTAATTGTACCATTTACCCCTTAAACAATCAAATCCCGTACTTACCACTTGTCTTATTGCTTTACAGGTGAATTTTATATAGATTTATGAGTGATAATTTAGGGTGTAAGGTAGATTTGAAATAGTTCAATAGGTTAAAAAAAAATCAATCATGTATGCTGTTGATGCTTCACTGGGTAGTTGTTTGGTTTGCTGCAAAAGAATATTGCAGCAAATATTTGCATGCAACAAAACCAAAAATAAATTACAACAAATATTTTTATTTTGCAATTGGTTATCTTCAGATGTATCAATCAGCATGCACAACCTAATTTTTATTTTATTCTATTTTATTTTATTTTACTGAGATAGTCATATAAAATCCAATTGAATGGAATTTTATACATATATATATTTGCATTTTACATACGCTCATTCAATTGGAAGAGAGAGAGAGAGAGAGAGAGAGAGAGAGAGAGCTGTTCACACTTGAAATTGTCATACAACCCTGAGAGTTGAAATAGGCTCTTCACTGATTCCTTGCACCTAACTGTAACAGATATACATATCACACGCAGTACATTACACATCTTACAAAAGAAGGATATCCCTCTTCCATCTTGTGTTTCTCAACAAAGAGAAAAACCCAAAACAAAAAAACAAAAAAAAGAAAACAAAAATTTTTCATGACAAATCAATTTTGCGAAAAAATTTCTCTCCAGGACAGAAAGTTTTATTGTACAATTCAAAATTGCATCTTTTTTCGGGAAAATTAAGATCAAGATGGACTGGTCCATTTTTTGTTAAACAAGTTTTTCCACATGGAGCTGTCGAGATAGAAAATCCTAAAAATGGTAATATTTTTAAAATAAATGGTCAACGTCTGAAACTATTTTTAGAATTTTCTACGCTCGGAGAGGAAGAGGTGTTGGTTCTTCATGAACCTCATTATCTGTAAAAAAAAAAAAATATACTAATTTTTCTTTTGTTTCTTAAAAAAAAACCAAAAAAAAAAAAAAAAAAAAAAACCATTCCGATACTACATTTCAAAATTGCCCTCTTAGTCTAAGCGGCACCCCGAAATTCTGATAAACCCTAATATTACCTCCCAACCCAGCAGTCACAACCACCAGACCCCACGCGTTCGCATCCTCCGCACTCGCCACCTTGTTGCCTGCACCCGCGCCCCACCCCCATGACGAAAATGACGACGACGACGACGTGACGGACGCGGACATCGATGATCCCGCACATTGACCAGACCTCAAGCTCGCTGACCCCGAGAGCAACGACGAGCTCTCTATCACCCTCGGCGATCCATTGGCCTCTTCTGAATCTACAGCAGGAGAGTTGTGACTTCTGCTGCTCGGGAACATGTCCTGGAGATTTGATGCGCTGCGGTCGGTGGTTGGTCTGGACCACGATGGGAGGTCGGGGGATGGCTCGCAGTGGGGTCCGCCGTTGGGCCACGGGACAGCGACGGAGACGTCTTTGCAGAAGAAGTGCTCGTGGGAGCGGGTGGTGGCTTTGCCTTTTCCCCGGGGTCTGTCTCGTTTCCAGATGTAGACGTGAGAGTCCTCGCTCGCGCAGACTACGTACTTACCATCCATCGTGCATGATGCTGATATCTGACTGCTTGTATTCCGAAAACCTGCAGCCAAAATCAGGATTCGGAGTTACCAAATGCGCCGCTCTTTAAAGGGTTAACCGCACACGTACAGACCCTTGTTTTGGACTTACTACCCCTGTAATTTCATTGTTGCATATACACTCCCTGGGTTCTTATTTTATTTTATTTTATTTACCCTGATTTAAATTTTGGCGAGTAATACCTCTAGGTGAAACTAACGAGTCTATCTGAGGCCATTTCTTCAAGAAATTGCCAAAATTTTGTAATCTCAAACAAGCTTCAGTGATTTAACATGCATAACATGGTAATAACGCAAGGACTTTGACAGCATTAGTATTAGTTATCAAAATGAAATTGAAAACAAAATATTATGAAATTATGATGCCAGACAGGGCACTTAATATTGGAGCTCAAATTATCACAAAAATAAAAAATATATATATACAGTGAAAAAAATTTATAGACATCGCATCTCAGGGAGAAAGCAATTACATGAAGTTAGAATCCAGAATCCTGCTGTCGACAGATGCTGAAAGGTTGCAAGTCAAGAATAGACGAAATTCTTGTTTCAATAAGAATTTTCAACAGAAGAAGGTGGTGATCATTCTTTCAGAGATTGCAATGATTTGAGGGAAAAAAAAAATCATAGTCGCTCATATCGTAGATGTGGCAAACAAATCTAGACAAGTATGGAACCAATTTTGTTATTTCGTGATATTTGGTTAACTGACAGTCTTTGCCTGTTTTTTTGAAAATTGTTTCAGTTGGACAATACGAAATTTTAGCGGGAACAAATTAGTTTCTTTGTTTGTCACCTGTGCCAGCCTTGCATCTTTTCCTTAAGTATGCCTAACTGATGCGTTTTGCGTTTTTATTTTCCATATGTAAATACCATATGTAGCTACAACACTGACATGTGAATCCTACATCCTGCCAACTTTCTATGATTTAACTATGTCCCCAGCTTATACAAAATGCATCTGGCATGCACCAAGAAAATCCAGTATCGGCAGGAAATTAGGCAAAATGCAACAGTATGCACTGCTAATATGTAACATGTACTGTACTTGTTTTAGGATAGTTTAATCCAAATCAATTGTTCAAGAATTTTGAATTTCAATCAGTTTCATTGTTGTAAGCTGGGTGGCATCCGAGCAAAAGTACCTCGGAACTTGTGAATCATGTTCTCGCCATCAAAGACTCTAATTTGAGAATCAGCAGAGGTGATCAGTACTTCAGATGAATTATCTGGGGCAAACTGTTCAGAAATGAAGACCACACATCAAGGTCAAGGGAGCAATTTTTTTTTTTGAAATTAAAGATAAGCAACTTGTGAAACAAAGTCCAGCATCAAGAAGATGTTTCATCAAAAATCAACGCCATAAAGTTTAGGAGGGGGTACCTGGAGACCAGTAATCTTTTTTGCATTGGACTTCTTTTTCTTGGTTCGTGCTTCTATCTGACGTTCTTGGCTAAGCTTAGCATCTTCCACAGAAAACATAAGTAAAATATCAATATGTTTTGTGTCACCAAAACATCCTTGTCACTATCATCAAAATACACAGCATATATAGGCTACATCAATAGCAAAGGCACAAGCAAATTAACTGTGATGTTTTTCCTCTGCATAATTTACAGTAATTGTATATATATGAGGAATATGGGCATCGTTAGTACCAAGAATCAAATTTGATGAGATAAAAAAAAGAAAAGAAAAGATTGGAGAATGCACATACCAGATGTGTTGTAAAAGCGGCAACTCCCTTTATGTGAACCAACTAAGGCACCCTTCCAAGGATAAATATATAAAATCCATCACTAGTTACAACAGTGTCGGCAATAATAATACCACATATTATCATTGAATTAAGTAATTATCGATTCGGTATATACTCAAGAACTACTCGTCATTTTACCTGACCATCTGGCGTATAGCAAGTTGCAGTAACCATTTCATGGATGTCAGTCCAGTCGACGACGAGACGATCTGGTACGCTCCACAACCTAACCTTGGCATCAAGTGAACCGCTAATGAAGTATCTTTCATCCGTTGGATTGAACTGGATGCACGTAACTGATATCAAACCAAGATAAAAAAAAATGCACAAAAAGGAAAATTAGACGAATGTTATTAATTAATATGCTTAGGGTTAACTGCAGATAGAACCACCCACCCAATTGCGGACAGGCAGCCTGTAGTTCTACCGTTACAGATAGACCCCCCCGACCCTGATTCTTTTACCCTCAAATAAAGAGAAAATCGCTTTTGACAAGAAGAAAATCTCACTCAGGGGGTCTGTCAGCAATTGGGTGATAGCACTGGGGGGGTGTACCCACAATCAACCTAGATTATATAGGCATGTATTGGAAGCACAAATTGAATATCTAACTTCACCTTACCGTAATCGCTATGCGCAAACATCTTCACGCAAGTCTTGGTTTCAATATCCCAGAGTCTCACAGTTTTGTCCATTGATGATGACAGCAAATACTGAATTGAGTAACAAGCACAGTTACAGAAAATGGCAACTGAAATTCATGATCAATGAACAAGACAAAAGTATATTAATTATCTAGGTTTATTGTGGATAGACCCCTGTGTTATCGTTGTTTTCCACTTACTACCCCTCTAGTTTATTGTAGTCGGTAGACCCGGTGAGTGATTTGTTTTCTTCTACTTTTCCCCCCCTTAAGAGTAAGAGAAACTTATTTTTCACAATGGACCCTCGGGTAAAAGAGTAAAAAAAATACCACTCAGAGGGTCTTTTGATAATAACACTAAACGAGTATAGTAACTTCAAAACAGCGATACCACAGGAGGTCTATCACAAACAATTGACCCTTCTAAGAACAAGGACGCTGTAATTAAGCAGAAAACTGACAGCAAGCCATATTTAGAATATGTTCAGAATTGAGACAGTATCCCCTCCATCAATAAATGGTGCTCACGAGGAAATCAAACAAGCAGTATAAGTTGCGTGATGTTTCATTGAAAAGTCCAAGATTAACGGGTAGAAATTACTGCGAGAGAAAAAAGAAACACAAGAGTACACCTGTGATTTCGACCAAGAAAGATCCAAGACATCATCCGAATGCCCTTTCAGAGAGCAAATTGGCTCTGCAGACAGAGAGAACATCGTCTCAGGAATCACAATATAATCCGGCACTCCGCCTGAACCCTTCCCCTTCTTCATCCTCTTCGATATACTGAGCGACGACGACCCACCGTGCCCCAGTGGAGGTTGCTTGCTCGGCGACGACGGTTGATCCTGCCGGTGCAACGAAGAAGTTAGCGTATCGCGCTCCACAACTCTCCAAACACTCACAATTCTATCCTCGCCTGCACTCGCTAAGTATCGAGAATCTGAGCTAAACTTCATCGTCCATATCGACCCTTGGTGTGCTTGAATCTCTTGGCACATGTACAACCCAGTCATTTCTTTGTACGACTTGCCGTGTTGATGAACTTTTAACCTCTCCGACGACGAGTTCGATTTCTCTTTGCTCGCTTCTCTATCAGATTTCAATCCAGCAACGAATTTTATGTTTTTTAGCCAGTTCGCCTTCTTCTTGTTTGGCTTGCCGTTCTTCGAGGATTTCGACCCCAGACCGCCCTTGCCGCCGTCGGCGCCGCTGGCGGTGACTCGGCGCATGACGTCTTTGATGATGGGTGAGAATCCGATGAATTTCTCAAACTCGTCCATCGTCAGCGGCTTCCCTCCTTTTTGCTTTGGGGTAATTGCGCTGTCCGTGGTGCTGATGACAAACTCCTTTCCCCGTGTCTAGATTCTTGGATCTCAGCGTCGCCGGTTCTCAGGCGCTTCATCGTCCAGAGACAGTGAGGCCATCGTATCGTCCTTTGGTTGGGGCGCGCGTTTAAGTGCCGTTGGTTCCTGGATAGTTCTGGTTACCAAATGGCCCATTTCTGAGCCACTGGCACGATGGGCGGGGCAGGAGGGAGACCCGGAATAGACCGCACCATCGTGTCTGTAATGAAGAGGAAGGTCGAACGGAGCAATGAAAGTTCCGGTGGTCTGATCGGCGATCGGGCACAGATCAGTTTTGACGCGGAGACGCTGACTGGCAGGTTGTTTACGCATTGTTAGTGAACAACAGGGGCGCGGCAGGGGCGGCGGCAGCGGGGCGGCGCCAGCGGAGGGCGGCGGAGCTACGGTGAAGGGGGGCGAGAGGAGGGAGGCGGTTTGTTTCGCGGAGCGAAGGGAAGATCTGTGAGGGACTCGACGGGCGGTGTTTGATGCTGGAGCGGGGTTACAGTGTGTGGAATGGGTAATGGGAGTGTTCTTGCTGCTGGAGGAGGCCCATCCTTGGAGGAAGCTTGCGGCGGCGTGCTGAAGCTGACATGTCCATGGCATGGGCAATCCAGACGTTGTAGTCGTATGCCTGGCCATCCCGCGTCTTCTCACATACGCCTCCTCTGTCGTCTCTTTGCATTCCGGGAGATATCCCATGCCCTCTCAAGAAAGTCAATCGAGGTTGCGGCGGCGGAGGAGGGAGGGGGGATGCTGAGGCGAAGGAGATGCGGACGTCAATCAGCTTCATCGCCATCGGTCAGAGGAGGAGGAGGGAGGATCGTCGACGTCGAAGTTGATGGCCGGAGGGGACGCGGTCGAAGGATTCGAAGAAGGATCCATCCTCGGCCCCGGCTTCACCTTCTCCTTTGTCTTCATGATCACCTTCTTCTTCTTCTTCTTCTTGCTCATCTTGGTTTTCATCTTCATTATCTACATCTTTTTCTTCATTGTCTCCTTCCTTCGTCATTGCTGGATTTGGATAGTTGAATTTCTTTTATTTTCTTATTTCAACTTTTGTTATTACGGTAATTATTTCAAAAAAAAATTGTTTGGTATTTTGGATGATCTGGGCAAGGAGGGAAGGATGAGAAGGGCGTGGCGGGAAAAGAGGGCAAGTAGGAGAGATGTTTGAAATGGTCAGTCGTTGAGGAAACAGAAAAAGGGAAAAAGGAAAAAAAGAAAAAGGGAGAGAGAAAAAAAAAGAAAAAAAGAAATGAGGAGTCAATGAAACATTGGGCCGGCCTTCTCATCATTATTTCTTGCTCAAAAAAGGCCCAAACAAAGACTAGGTGGATACACTTTCAGTGAGTTTGCCACTTTCCCTGTTTCAGCAATCGTGATTAATCTAATACTATTATAAAAGAGTGTTGATATGTTAAAATATTTCTTTCAAAAATATCCTCCAAATCACATACATGCATTCATAAAACATATACTTGCATACATATAAGGAAAATGATAGGGGCACACCATCAACCACAACCTCAACCACACATCCTCTCTCAGTTGCTACAGTATACCGGGGCCCACATGGGATTTTAAAATTTTAAAATCTCATGTGAGCCCCGGTGTACTGTAACAAATGAGAGAGAGTGTGTGGTTGAGGTTGTGGTTGGGGGTGTGCCCCTAGTGCCACCCTACATATAAACACATTACATATACAGGCAGACATTCTTAATAATAGCATAACTCTCTTATTAATTGTCCACTAATATTAACTTCTATTTTTTGTAACCCCTCCACTAATCCAATTTTAATGTTATCATAATTTTTTTTAAGATTGTAAGTTGTATTTGAGATAATAGCTGAGAATTGAATGCACACACATATGACAAACTATCCCTCCATTAATCCAATATTAATGTTATCATAAAAAAATTTTAAGATTGTAAGTTGTATTTGACATAATAGCTGAGAATAATCCAATATTAATGTTATCATAAAAAAATTTTAAGATTGTAAGTTGTATTTGACATAATAGCTGAGAATTGAATGCACACACATATGACAAATAAGTTGTATTTGACATAATAGCTGAGAATTGAATGCACACACATATGACAAACTAATAATATACATTTCAATTTGCAAACAAAGTGTCAACTTAAAATACTTACATGCATACATTCTTAATAATGGTATAACTCTCCTATTAATTATTCACTAATATTAACTTTTATTTTTTTGTAACCCCTCCACTTAAAACGCACATATGACAAACTAATAATATATGTTTCAATTTGCAAACAAAGTGTCAACTTAAAATGCCATTAGTACATGCATTCATGCATACTTGAAATGAGAGTCAAATTTTTAATTGTAGTTTTTATTTAAGTGGCAATTATAGTTGACTGTTACGGAATCCAAAAAGCCTTTTTTATTTATTTATCATTATAGCCCTTACTTGCAACCTATATAAATTCACTCATTTGATGATTTAGATTTACACTCGCCTCTTACAACCCTAACAACATCCTATACTCATCCCATGACTTTACTATGATATTATTTGGATGATACAAGCTCGCCAGTGAAAACATTATCCATTCAGAAGAGATAACGACAAAGGGGGGTGAAGACGATTGAAGTTATGATGAGGAAGTACTGAGTTTTACTCGGGTTATACTTTATACTGATGTGATTGTTAGACTGACATCTATATGCGGATTGAGGATACGATTGATACAAGGAAATGTGGAGAATTCGGATTGAGGTTAAAGTTTAAGGTCTAATTTGGGTGTGTGTGGGGGTGGTGGTGGTGGTGGTGGTGGGGGGGGGGGTTTAATAAATTTTTTTCTATTTCTATAATTATTACTTTGTACTTAATTGTGATTTGAGAAAAATATTGTATTATCCATGAACTTAGTAGATATATTTTTTGTAGCATGTTACTAATTATATGATAATAGAAGAGAGAGAAGCTGAAAGTGAGAATTTTATTTTGTTATAATAGAATAGCAAAAATAAAGATAATTAATATAAACTGGAATAGCATGACACACTTAACATAAAAGTAAAGAACAAACTTGGAATTTTTGTCTTTTGTGTAAATTTTTTTATATAATAAGTATATTATAACCTCCCTAATGTTAAAATTATATTCTAAATTTGCACATAAAACTACCATTAGTTATTAAATGTCATTCATTATCTTAAATTATAAAGTAAATAGAACTATGTCTTTTAATATTAAAAAAATTATATCTTTTGGGTATTCTATGATTGGCCAATGTTCACAAAATAACCCTGAATTTTTTTACAAACAACCATGGATCTTCATAATTTTCACAAAGACCATTGAAATTTCATATATTTATAGAAAAATACTGAAACTTCATAATTTTTTACAGATAAACCCCTATATAGTTCAAAACCTAAATCTTAAGAAGATTGAAAGAAGTATATGATCTAAATTATAAGAAAATTACAAATAAGTCCTCAAATGTTGTTATAATTACATTCAAAATAAAACTCTTCCATTAAGTAAATAATAAATTGTGTAAAGTATTAGAACATAAAACAAATATGTCCACGTGCACTATACTAGTCTACACAAAAGCATAAAGAGTGTGACACGTGTACCATTATTTTGCCCATTTTGATTTTTCACTCATTTTTATCTCCCTTCGTTTCAATTCATTGAAACCATAGGCAACACCTTTCCATACAAAAAGTTTTTTTTTTCGTTTAAAGCTTTAAACAAGAGTAGGAAGCAATTTTTATGTCACTCTATTGTTTGGTTGTAAATGTCACGCCCCGGGTCCACAGGCCCGTCGCCCGGGTCCACAGGCCCGTCGGCGCGTGCAAGCCGTAGGACCCACTGAGTGTACTGTACTGTTTGGTTCAAATCACTGCCAAAATTGACTAGCCGATATTACACTTGAGTCTTTAGCTTCACTATATAACCTTTAAATATCTTATTCCCTCACCGATGTGGGACTATAACTTTGGATCGGTGGGATGTCACATTTACCCCACCTTACAAAGGCAACGTCCTCGTCGCGGCATGACAATTAGCACATCCCAGGCTACCAGACAATGTGGACTCTAGAGATAGCTCCTACGGGCTCTAGAGGTGGCTCCCACCACACAGTGTAACACTTAGCCTCGCATAACACTTAGATCCATACTTCCTGCTGGCAACTGCTCTGATACCATTTGTCACGCCCCAGGCCCGCAGGCCCGTTGGCGCGTGCAAGCCGTAGGACTCACCGAGTGTAACACACTGTTTGGCTCAAATCACTGCCAAAATTGACTAGCTGATGTTTCACTTGAGTCTTTAGCTTCACTATATAAACCTTTAAATATCTTATTCCCTCACCGATGTGGGACTATAACTTTGGGTCGGTGGGATGTCACAGTAAATCCAAAAAGACGACTACAAACTTGAAAAACAAGAGTGAAAGAGATGGATTGTAAAATAAAGAGTTGTCATCCATTTTCCTAATTTTTTAATTGTCAAAATAATTTAATTTGTTAGATTTCCATCATTTCCAGCAAAAAAGTCAAACGGGGATTTCTACAAATTTTATGTGATTTTTATCTTCTATAGAAATCTCTTTACAAAAAAAAAATTTGTGAGCTAAATTAGAAATAAGAAAACTTATCAGAAATTATTTTCTAGCATGTGCCAATGGGGTTTCCACACATATTCTTAGAATTTTTTTAGTAAAACAAATGGATCCTTAGGGGGGGAAAAGGCTTTACTAATATTTTATCTTGTAAGATTTAACTATTTATGCCAGTACAGTTTTATTAGTTTTGCATATAATTTATACTGATTTTAAAAATTAATAGTAAAATGCAATTTGTCTTTTTTTTTCACTTCCTTACTTTATGATTTTCTATAATCCATGAAATTTCATGTCACTTGTTATGAAGCATGAGTTCTCGCTTTTGAAAATGAATCCTATTAGAATAATATGCACGAGGGTAGATTGTTCTTATTCATACGAGAGACAATGAAAATTTTCAAATTACCCCTCTATTTATCTTCATATAGACCAGAAAATTTTGCGTATACGTAATTATTCCAAGAAAATATATACTCCTCTCCCACAAGATGTGGGAAGAAATGTTTAGCACGAATAGGAAATATTCCAAAAGAGATAAAGATATACAACGAAAGGTTTGATTAGTATCGTTTCTATCCATACAACCATACCTGGTTCAAAAATATGACGATAAAGGGTCTTTTGGATATTAAGTTAAAAAATGAGTAACGTTTCTAATTTATAGATCTATATTATAAAAGAAACATATAAATGTAGTAGGAATTATATTTCTTAACACGAAAAGGCATAATAATATTGATCTCATGTAAATTATTATTATTATTATTATATATAGCCGTGTTCTCGTACCCTATCTTTTAAAAATTTCCATTGTCCCGTACCCGAACCCATGTAACTTAGAATAAACTTTTTTATTCAACCATCAATTTCCCAATGAAATGATATTGGAATAGTAAGAAAAAATATATGCCCAGTGAGCCGATTTGCGTCGAACAAACTTTTCTGAATTGACATTCTTTAACTCAGGCCATCCCGTGGGATCAAGAAATAGACGACGCATCAAGAACAAATCATCAAATTAGTTGTTTCATCAGTGATACTATAATGCACTTATCACTTATCAGTCAAATAGCAATTTTCGCCAGGCATCCAAAAAAGGTCGGGGGGGGGGGGGGGGGTCTATTGCATCTCCAGAACTATTTCCAATATAGCCCGCAAAACTAAAGATCCAACATGCACATAGAAAGGCTCGACGTAGTGAAGTAAAATCAGCGTGCAAAAATATTAGGGACCAAGCGATCCAACAGGCAACCCACTAACCCCAGCTAAGAACTCAATTAAGACCAATTACTTTTAACTGCGAAAAAAAGTAAAAGAGGCTACAGGATTTTAACTTGAGGGTGTGCGCTACGAATCTCCAATCTCCTTCACAAAGCATACTTCATTTGAAATATGAATTAACGATGATCGGTTGCAATTATCTTCTGAGCTGAGGCCACTAAAAAGTGAACTAATTCTGGTTTCCACCAGCTCATTGCTTGTTACATGCTTAGTGGTTCTGTTTCAGGATCCCTCTCTTTCATTGATGTCCAGTTTTCAGACTCTGCAGTAAAGCATCATCAGACGGTGAGCAGGCGAGCGCAGGTATCCCAAGACATAATCAATAATGCAATTGGAAATACACTGGTTGGAGATGAACAGAAGCAAGGATTAATTGCGGATACACCCCTTATAGTATTGCTGTTTTGAATTACTGAGTTACTGCCTCTAGTTTTATTTTTTGCAGATGGCCCCCTTCAGTGAACTTATTTTGGACTCTTTTATTCTCAGGGGTGTCTGATTGTTAAAACTATATATAATTTTCTCTCTGTGGGTTAAAAAGTAAAAAAAAAATCATGCATGGGTCTATCTGAAAAAACAAAACTAGAGGGGTAGTAATTTCCAAACAGTTATACTATAGGAGGTCTATCTACAATTGACCATGAAAACGTACACTTTTGATGGAATTGTACTTAGATTGCAAGACATCAGTTAAAGACCCGAGATTTATCCATAAATTTAAGAGTGTTCCCTAATAGGTGTGGTCTATTCAATAACCAGAATTGGAATAAGTGCAGTAGCCCTTTCAGTTGCTAAATACAGATCATTCTTCATCCAGGCTCTACAGCTTATGAACTCTTGTTCATTCAAAGCTTCATGTGTGACCAATTTATGATCAGCTAGTCATTTAAAATCTGATGATATAGGAAATTAAGATTTTCATGCAAACCACATCTTTGGATAACATCAGTAACTAAGGCTTAAGTTGTCGAGAGACGAAATAAGAAATCATTGAGGTAATGTTCAACTTACTTGATCTGTGGGCCTCAGCAACAGTCATCAGCCGCCTTTGCAAAATGGAAGCAACTAATAGGAAAATAGAGCACATGCCAAACATGACGGTGATAGGGAATGCATTCACCTGCAAAAGCAGCAAATTCACAACAATTAAGACAACTATTTTGTTGGCAACATCCTTACATTCAGATTAGCTTTGATATAAAGCTGGAACATTTCCTTTGACCTCCTACATAGTTTATATCCATCCCCACTGGACTGGATGAATATCTGAAGTTTTGCCAACTGACAAGTGAAATACTAGGAGTTGCTTTATTGATCATTACAGAGGAGACCACCATTTCATTTTAGAGAGAAAATAATACGAAGATGAAGCATCTTTCGGCTCTCATATAAGCGGTTTTTTCTATGTAAATAAAATTAAAATATAGGGACAGATAAAACTAAAATTTTACAATTTGTAACTAATGAAAAGAGAAGAGTCAAACAGTGACAAAATGAATTTTGTCTAACTAATGCAAAGTTATATGTATGAATTATGAAATGAGTTTGGGCTCAAACTTCAATCTAGGTTCTAAAGTAAGTGGCTTCTAATTTATCAAGTGCTGGATTAGCATATGATACATAAGAATGGGAGTTAGGGCATATGTGCACATTCAATATGTATCTGCACAGGATTACGTATATAAATGGTCGATGCAAAAGACATATGCACATTATTATTTGAATTTCCATCTAAAATCTAAGTATTAATCAAAAATCATGTTACAAAGATGCTTAAATAATATTATACCAAAGAGGGCATATAGGCTAAATATATACTTTTTTAAGCATAGAAGATTCCATCTCCACTTTTCTAGCCATCAAATCTAAAGATCTAATAGCTAGAAAAAAATAACCACTGGAAGTAAATAATAATGGTACCAAAAAAGTGAGGAACTATTGTCTTTTCGAGTAAAGTTCCATATGTGAAGTGTTATGAGAGGGAGGGAGGGGCGGAGAGCATGCTAGATCAATAAAGTGGAAGTTAAGAAGTCTAATGCTTACATTGTAAAGCACAACACACACAAAAATGTTGAGTGGAATGCGGAAGAAATTCATGATCGTGCTCCTAGCCTCTTCTGGAATATATTGTGATCTCATTTTCATTATGGATGGCCAAAATATTCCCACGCATGCCTCAAAGGTGCAGAAGCCAAAGAGTTGGATACAGCCCGCAAGGGAGATACTTCCCCCTTTAACCGCAGTAGGTGTCACTAATAACTGTTTCACATTATTAGCCAATTAAACAATCAATCAATAATCATATGTAAAAAGTAATTAATGCCTAGGAAATAAGCCACAAGACTTACAGGTGTAAGAACAGGAAGTAGTAGTGTCAATGCAGAGATTACAAAAACAATCTGCATGTAGCTTTCAGCTTTAAGTGTTGGCCGAGCCATTAGCCGTGATGCAATAGAGCTCCCCAACATTGAAGATAACATGAAGGTCGCAAAAATAAAACCATGAGGAATGTCCTCGTCATTTGGGCTTAAAGCAGGAGTCCACAAGAACACAAAGGTATACATGGAGCCTTCAAATAGTGATTGAATTGCACCAAGCATAGCAATTTTCTCATCTGAATAACACGTGATATGTAATGGTAAATATGATAACCATTTGTGAAATACACATCACATGTTTACCAAGAAAATGCATACTAACCAGAAGCAATGGCTAAAGCAGCACCCTTAAACTGAGTAATTAAATCCTTGTTATCAGAAGGGTCTCCATAGTTTTCACTCCATGTTGATAAGATAACAGCCATGCCAATTGCAAGGAAGCAAGCAGCGGCATCAAAAGGAGCCACAGGGCCAAAACCCAAGTTATCAGCTAACATGTTTGCAAATAATCCACAGATAATGGCAACGAGACCATTGCCAAGAAAAATAGCCTTCGAGAAAGTTAAAGACAGCCATTGCGGTTCAAATCCCCTCTGAAAAATCATCATGTATGTCATAGTCAGAATAAAGATAGAACATCGAATATTTGCAGAAGATACAATGGCCTCTGATTTAATCATCTGAAAAATATTATCAACCTTAATTCAAATACAATCAGAAGCTTGACAGTGCATTCTGATCACACCTCAGGGTCAGTTTGGCAACTCTTCCTTAAACCAGTTCTAACCTAAACAGGTTCAGTTCTTGACCGGAGGTGGACCAATTCTAAACTAGTTTAAGGCCAAAATTTGGCCTCCCAAAACTTAAGCCCTGGTCTAATCATTTGCCAAACTAGGGCTAGGACTTACACTGGTTTTATTCCACTGAACCAGTTTAAGCTGGAGTTGCCAGACCAAACGGCCTTAGTCTCTGGAATCTTATATCTCAGTGTAACACAATGCACTAACTTATTATTATGACATGGCTGCAAATATATATTTGGATACAGTCCATGCATGTAAAAGCATGTTCAAACTACAAGTCTGGAATTAATAGTGATGTACACAACTCAACAGCATTCTTATGCGCAACAGCTAGAAATCATATATAAGATCAAAAGTAGGCTACTTATTTCTCCAAAAAGTGTTGTAGTATTTATTGTGTTGCAGTATTTATTAACAGAAACACAAAATCAATGGCTAAATGCTAAATAAAAAGAAGAAGAAGAAGAAGAAATGGCTAAACACTCAAACATATGCTCCAGATACAATGTTCAATAATTTAATATAAAGCTAGAGATGTCACGTAAATGGTGGTTTGTTCAGTTTTTATCATATGCTTATTTGGTATGCAGTTGCTCATCCAGAGTGAAAGTTATAGGTTAATTTGGTCATTCACGCTATTGATAGTTGAAAATTTGGATAAAATATGTTTATCTACATTGGTCATGTAGTTTCTCATGTGCGTAAGGAAACAACTTTCCTATTTCTGTGAATGCCACAACTGTCTGATATATGGGATGTTTGCATGCACAGTTTTGAGTAGCAGCTTGTCATGCTTTTCCTCAAGCTTCATGGATTAGTATGGTGAAGGAAAAGTGTCAACCGTTTGATTGACTTGGCATTACCAAATAAGAATTTAATACAAAGGATTAAAGGAAGCTTAAAGTTATGGCAATGCATTCAAGAAAATCGAACACCTAACAGTTGAATGTATTCAACATGGTTTTACTATCCAAATTGATATATTTTTAATTTCCAATAAAGGGCCACAAGAAATATGGTGCTTTGGAGTCAGATGACCATTCTACCCAAAAGTTAAGCGTGTGTTATGCACTCAAATGTATGTCAAAGAAACATAAGACACCTGACATCTGAATAGCTTCGACATGGATCCCGTCAACTGAGAGTAATTCATTTACATTTTTAAGGAAGTTTAATCACTAACTCTTGGCCCTTACATTTTTTATTTTTTTTCCTTTGTTATTTTTATGTATTATTATTATTATTATTATTATTATTATTATTATTTTTTTTTTTTTTAAATTGATTTGTCTCTAAGAAGAGGAAAGTGGATGTATCTCTAATATGAATGATCATTGCAGATGTTCTTCAGATTCTCTTATCGGTGTTCAGTTCCCATGATTTCTTTAGGAATTTGAGGAATTCTCGTTTCACTTTTCTTTGGTGGTCATTTGGTCTTACCATTTGGTATCCTCGTAGTCAGTTTTCATTCTTTGATGGATTTCTGAGTAGTGGTTGTGTTTAGTTTGTTTTGAATGAGCCTCTTCTTTTTAATGGCTAAAATATAGTTTATGGCTGGAAGGTTCAGTCGTCCCCTATGTTCTCAGTCAATATTTGCATGTGACTGTTTTCTTCTGGCAGAATGATTTATTAAACAAGATCAAGATGATTTTCTATCTATAGAATATAGCCGTTTGAAATGTGATCAATCTGTTTAGGTATAAGGCTCTCCCTGCTTCTTCCTTAATGTGAAGAGTTGTTTATGGCTGGAAGGTTCAGTCGTCCCCTATGTTCTCAGTCAATATTTGCATGTGACTGTTTTCTTCTGGCAGAATGATTTATTAAACAAGATCAAGATGATTTTCTATCTATAGAATATAGCCGTTTGAAATGTGATCAATCTGTTTAGGTATAAGGCTCTCCCTGCTTCTTCCTTAATGTGAAGAGTTGACAAGCAAATTAGCAACATCCAGCAACATATAAGTAAAGGCATAACAGAAGAATGTCTTATCAGCACTCACTAAAATGTATCCCTATGAACCAAGCTCCACATAACTAGTTTACTCCAGATTTCTTCTAAAATTATAAATTATGTTTGAATGTTCACATGAGTAAATAATAGGCAACGAAAGAGAAGATAGTACACAAAATTTTGATCAGAATGTACAAAGTACGAGATACACTGTCCATATAAGGTAGTTCACTTCTTTCACACAATTAATAAAACAACTGCAAACACCTATCAACAATTGATGATCGGAAAATTTACGGGCCACAAGATTTACCAATTCTCAACATTTTTTTTTCAAATATAGGAAAGATATCATAGCATAACTTCGTGAATCTCAAGAAACCACAAGAAACCAACAAATTGAAAGGGAAGGAGAGAAGTAGAAAACCTCACCTTATTATGCTCAGCAACAAGCCAAGATTCGAAAGACGAAAACAAGAGAGACGTGGCAATTCCTCCCAATATACGGCCCAACATCAACACTTTATATTGCGGGGAATGCTTGGTCATACAACTCAAGATGTAAGTTATGCAGTAGGTAACACATGCCCTCTTCCGACCTCTGCCTTTGGATGCATTTGGATTAGATTCAAAATGAATAATATTCCAAACTCTTGCTAGATTAAAAACCGAACATATATCGAAATACTCACTGTTTGTCAGCGAGAGATCCTACAATTGTTCCAAAGAGCATGGAGGATCCAAAACCAGCGATGAAAAGGCGGCCAATGTCACCCTTATCAAAGCCATACTGACTGTAGAGGAAGTAGACATAGGGACCTTGTAACCAATCTCCAGCTGAACCAGGGAAAAGAACCAATCAACAAAATGACAGTGGCGGCAAGTATATCTCTAATCTTCGCTTTTCTTTCTTTTTTTCTTTTGTTTCTTTTTCCTCCTTTTCTTGGGTAATATGAACTACTTGAATAAAGACTTAGAGAATGATGACTCCGCCATCAGTGATATAGTCAGATTAACGTACACAAATATGGAAAATAAAGGAAACCCCAGAATATACAACTCGGCAAGCCAACAAATCACTCCAAATACGTCTGATTTGGCTCCCACTCTCTCAATTAATGAAGAGCTCCATCCCAACCCCAGAATTATCATAAACGTGTGCAAGTAGTCTGAGCATTATTTGACAAAATAGTATAGCAAAACTGAAAGGTCTTCACGTTTCTTGGCTTAATTTGAGCTTTCTACCAAACAAAACCCAGTCTAAGCAAATGCCAAAAAGCCCAGGTGTTATATCAGATCAACGGACATCAGAATCCCTCTCTAAAATCTCACAATCTACACAGACGCAAAGAAACTAATGAAAACCCATGTATTTCACAACCCAACAAATTACTCCCAAAAGAAAACCCAACCAAGCTTCATCGAACGTTCACCAATTAACTGGGAAAATCGAACCCATCCCCCCCAGTAGAATCTACTAAAATTCCAAATCCACGACTAAAACAAACCGAATGGGCAAAATCCGAGCAAGACCCAGATCCAGAAACAGGCTCAAACGTCGGGTTCAAACCGAAGAAGAACGACAAAAGGAAGGGAGATTAAAAAATTACCCATCATGAGAGAGTAGACGACGAGGTAGTTGTTCTTGAAGGAGTTGAAGGCGGAGGAGGTTGAGATCTTGTCCTTGCTGCCTTTGCTCAGCTCCAGCACAGCCACCACCAGCGACAAAAACCCAAAGAACACGATATAAAACGTCTCCATTGTTCTTTGTCAGGGGCGGGGGGGTTGGTGGATCTGAGATTGGGACTGAGTATGGAGGAAGAGGAAGAGGGAGGAGGGGAGGCTCTTTATAACAAAAGGGTTATTGGTCCTGATTGATAGGATGACAAATAATGATAATTATTAGTTTTTTTTTCATTTTTATTTATTTATTTATTTTGTGGAGGGTTTATTAGCAGCTTGGATCGGAAAGTAAAAAAAAAAAAAAAAAAGTTTTCGGAAAGTAAAAAAAAAAAAAATTAGTTTTGGTTTGTCTCTATCGCAAAACCTTGTTTGGACTGCACAAAATGTAAAGTTGGAAAGTTGAGGCTGGCGTATGAAGTGAGCATCTCATATTGTTTTCATTCTGTTCGGTTATCATAGAAATCGCACGGTAACGAGCGAACAACTAAAACTGAAAAATAAAATGAAAGACGAGAGAAGCAAACTATGTGTGTCATTTCTCCACTTCATGTACAATCTATCAATCAACAAAATCTTAATTTAGGGGAGCTTATAAAGGAGGGAAATGTTGTCCTCCACTGATTCCCCATTAAAAGTCCCTCTACCCTTTAATTATTCATATATAGTGTTTTAATAATTTTATAGATTAGTGATTAATTAAATATGTGGTTTATTTATAAATGAATAAATAATTAAATATTAATAACTAAAAATGATTAATTAATCATGTTATTATTTAAAAGTCCCTCTACCTTATATAATCATTAAATTAATTAATCATATTAAAATTTAACAAATAATTAATTTATACAATAACTAATTTATATAAATCATGTTAAAAGTTAAATATTATATTAAATTTAAATTAATATTATTTTAATATTAATTTCATTTAACAATAAGGGGTACATTTTAAATTAATAAAAAATATTAATAAAAAATTATAAGGGGTACGTTTTAAAAAATATTAATCAAATTGAATTAACTATACATTAACTCAATTATTTTATTTTGAATTAACTATACATTAACTAAATTTGATTAACTATACATTAAATCCATTAAAAATATTAATATAAAATTATAAGGGGAGCTTTAAGGGACTTTAACCTTCCCCTTAATTTGGGGAGAGAGTTAAGGGGTTTGGGGTGAAGAGGCGTTTTTTTCCGGCTCGTTGGAGCAGCTTCCCCTCCCGAATATGGGTTACGATTTTAATAAACGTGAAGGCTTAACTTATATAATCATTAAATTAATTAATCATATTAAAATTTAACAAATAATTAATTTATACAATAACTAATTTATATAAATCATGTTAAAAGTTAAATATTATATTAAATTTAAATTAATATTATTTTAATATTAATTTCATTTAACAATAAGGGGTACATTTTAAATTAATAAAAAATATTAATAAAAAATTATAAGGGGTACGTTTTAAAAAATATTAATCAAATTGAATTAACTATACATTAACTCAATTATTTTATTTTGAATTAACTATACATTAACTAAATTTGATTAACTATACATTAAATCCATTAAAAATATTAATATAAAATTATAAGGGGAGCTTTAAGGGACTTTAACCTTCCCCTTAATTTGGGGAGAGAGTTAAGGGGTTTGGGGTGAAGAGGCGTTTTTTTCCGGCTCGTTGGAGCAGCTTCCCCTCCCGAATATGGGTTACGATTTTAATAAACGTGAAGGCTTAACTTCGTGAAAGGAAGACGAATATCAATTCGGTCTTTCGCTCCAGAAGGAAAACCTCTTGATTATTATAATAAAACTGGAAGGGATCCTTCTTCAGAAAATGAATCTGATGAATGTCTATTTCAAGACCACTCATCCGGAACGTCATCATAGGACTCCGATGTTAGCATTGGTGCAATCTTCAAAGGTATATCTGTAAACACGACTTCAACTAGTTATCTAGATGATGATGAAAAGGATGATGAAGAGTTGGTTGAATCAACTAATGGTCCTTAGATCAAACGCCTTAATATTTCATGGTACATGCGTTTTGAACAACGTGAGCCACCCACAGAAGATAAGGTGATCCAAATAAATATGGGGGATGAGACCAATCCCAAGCCAATCTTCGTAAGCGAGAGCTTATCACCATCCGAGAAAGAAGACCTTATATCTCTCATCAGAGAATATATAGATGTCTTCGCTTGGAACTATGAAGACATGCCTAGCCTCGACCCAAAAGTAGTCATACATCGTCTCAATATCGATCTGGATGTGAAGCCCGTTAAATAGCAACAACGAAAGTTCTGTCCAGAGATCATGGAAGCAATTGAATCGGAAGTAAAAAAAGCTTATTGATTCAGGTTTCATCAGGGAGGAACAACACCCTGACTGTATGGCCAACATTGTCCATGTACCCAAGAAAAATGGGAAGATTAGAATTTGCATTGATTTTCGTGACTTAAATATTGCATGTCCAAAAGACGAATTTCCTCTCCCAATCATAAATGTCATGACTAGTAATACTTGTGAGTATGAGAGGATGTCTTTTATGGATGGATTCTCAGGATACAACCAGATTAATATGTACCCTGAAGATGAAAAACACACGGCTTTCAGAACGCTACTGGGGGTGTACTGTTATACAATAACGCCCTTCGGATTGAAGAACATTGGTGCAACCTATCAGGGTGTCATGAGTACGATCTTCCATGAACATCTACGCAAGAAGATAGAGTGTTATGTGGATGATATCACGGTAAAAGCCAAATGAAAGGCGATCATCTTTCAGATCTGAAGATGATGTTCAACATCATGCGAGCACATCAACTGAAGATGAATCTAACTAAATCTTTCATGGGGGTAGCCAGTGGTAAATTCTTCGGATTTATAGTCAAGTCTAAGGGGATTTCTCTCGACTCAAAAAAGCTTCGTGCTATCCAAGAAATGCAACCTCTGAAGAACATCAAAAAACTCAAAGGTTTACAAGGCAGATTGGCTTATATCCGAAGATTCATATCAAATCTCTCGGGACGCTACCAGCCCTTTACTAAATTGATGAAAAAAGGAGTCTCATTCGTTTGGGATAAAGATTGCCAAAAGGCGTTTGAGAAAATTAAACGATACCTCACATAGCCACATGTTCTAGTGGTCCCAGTATCAGGAAAACCATTCATGTTATATATGAGAGTCATGGATCATTTTCTTAGAGTTTTGTTAGCCTATAACAATGATCAGGGTCATGAATATGCAATTTATTACCTCAGCAGAACCATGATTGGAGCTGAACACCGGTACAATCCAGTAGAAAAAGAACGTCTTGCCTTAGTGTTCGCCGTCTAAAAAATGTGACACTACTTGGTCGAACAATTTATCCATGTCATTTCCAAAGTAAATCTTTTGAGAGTACTTATGACAAAACCTTCTTCATTGAACTACCACCTCGAAAAATGGGCGATACTTCTATCGTAATATACAATGTGATTCATACCTCAAAAGGCTATTAAAGGCCAAGCCCTAGCAGATTTCTTAGCTGGTCATCCGGTACCAGATTCTTCCAAATTATATGAATGTTCACCTGATGAGATTGTGGAAGCTTGTATGAGTCAAGAATTCACGCAAGTATGGAAATTGTTCTTCGACGGTGCGTCTAAAGCAAGACCCGATGGAGGAATTACAGCTAATGTGGGGGTGGTACTCGATCCCCAAATGGTCATGTGATCCCAAGAGGCTTTTCCTTAACCGAGCCATGCACTAATAATATAGCAGAGTATAACGCTTTACTGTTAGGGATGCAATTAGCCGAGGAACTCAACATCTGACATCTAGAGGCTTACAGTGATTCTCAACTCATTGTAAATCAAGTTCGAGGAGAATATGAAGTACGCAATAAAGATTTGCTCCTATACCACTTTGCGGCGTTAAAATTAGCCCAAAAGTTTGAAGGCTTCTTTATCAGATACGTACCGCGCCAACAAAATGCATATGCAGATGCTTTAGCCTCGCTGGCAGTTTTACTAGCATTACCACCGAAGGAAGAAGAAAAAAATATTCGTCTCAATTCGTGACTTATATCAACCCAAGTTCCCTCTAGAATATTACTTAGAAGAGATAACAGCAGAGATTATCTGTGAAACTTCTGTCGAGCTCGAACCAAGAGACTGGAGATTCCAGTATATCGATTATGTCTTGTACGACATACTTCCCGATGATCCCAAAGAAGCCGTTGCTGTCAAATGGAAACCCTTTGATTCTCTTACAATGCGACTTCTCGAATGTTTTATCGAAAATCGCATGATGGAATTTTACTTTGCTGCCTTTTCAGAAAAGAAGCATAATGAGCTCTCAAAGAAGCCCCTAACAAAATGTGTGGAGCTCATCAGCCTAGACCTAAATTACGGGACCGACTCCAGAGACTTGGCTATTATTGGCCAAAAATGATGGTAGACGCCATTGATTATGCTAAACAATGTCATGCATGCCAAATCCATGGTGACTTCATCCATCAAGCACCAGGGAATCTGCATCCAACATCTTCATCTTAGCCATTTGAGATGTGGGGAATGGATATCGTTGGACTCATCTCCCCGCCAACATCCAAAGAACATTGGTTTATCTTGGGATTAATCAATTACTTCTCCAAGTGGGCTGAAGCAATACATTTGAAAGAAGTCAGAGTTCAAACGTGATCAAATTCATTAAACATCACATCATCTATCGCTTTGGCGTACCAAGACGAATAGTCCACTCTGTAGGTGTAAATTTTGATCTCCCGAAAATAGGGAACTCGTTTGTATTGATAAGAACAACTTATTACAAACTAATAATCAAATGTTTACAACAAAAGTGGAGGGAATACCCTCCTTGTTTAACGTGGGTTCCTCGGTGGCGATAGGACGCCTCGATCGGTGCTCGTACCGAGTCTGCTTCCCTTGGACGATCCGATCGAAGTTGCTGCCGGAGCTTCAGTTCTCAAATGAGGGAGCCTTTGGCAAAAGTCCAGGTTCAACCTTTGGGAGATTAGCCAGCAGAATATGCAACAGCCAATCCCCCTCTTCATGTTGGCTGAAGATGAGTTTTAATAGGCAAGGGATGGCATGGGCCATCCCTTGATTCGTGGGATTTGACCACTAATAGAGGTGAGGGAGCCAGTCACCCTAGCTGTG